GCCTGCTTTCTTTTGCTTTGTAGATCGGTGCTGCTTCCTCCGACGTCTCGCTCTCGCGCCGTGTAAGGACCAGAGGTGGGGGCCAGAGATCTCTTCCCGCCTCGGGTATGTGATGTGTGGCCAAGGGTTGTGTCTTTCTTTGCGCGTCAGGGCCCAGGCACAAAAAACAGCCAAGGATCGCCCGCCCTGTTGTGCAATAGCTGTGCTGTTTTCGTGTTGTGCTGCATCTTCTGATTTCATCGGCGACAGGCGACACAGTTTGCCCGCAACCTTGGCGCCCGAGCCGATGCAAGTTCAGAGCATCCGTCCCCGCTCTGTTCCCAGTACTGCGTGCCGATCTGTTGCCTGACCAGCCAGCGGTTGAGTCAGCTTCGGAATTCCAAAACATCCCTGCCTTTCGCTTCCTCCTCCCCCGCTACCCCGTCCCCCTTTCTCCCTCACTCCCGTCCCCTCCCTCCATGCCTCCCTCCTTTCGGGGAAGCGTAAGACCCGGGTTTGCCAGGACTCGGGTTCGCCATCGTTTTTTGACGACCGCGATTCGGATTTTGACGAGTAGGAGTTTCGTGGGATGTCTGCAGCGGGAGGCCTCGTCAAAATGCAGGCTCGGCCTCGTCATTTTTTTGACGACCTCGTCGGGGATTTCCGAGTCCCCCGTACCCGGGTCTTACGTCTCCCCGATCCTTGCCACCCTTCTGCGCACGCCGCGGTGCGGCCGCGGCGGAGGTGGGCTGGCCGTGCGACTGACCTCGATGTCCGACCACAAGGCGCCCGCGGCCGTGCCGCCGGCCCCCTTCGCTCGCGTTCGGAGGGGCCCCCGTCACTCAGGAGGGAAAACACACACACAGACGCAATTGATCGTCGATCCCCGGGAAAAGATGGGAAACTATGGGAATGGGGGGGAAGACAAAAACCCAGAAAATAGGGGAAAGTGCGGGGCATCTTTTCATTTGTGTGTATCTGTTTGTGTGTCCTGGGGCCCCTTTCAGTCACGGCCGTGCCGCGGTCCCCGCCCCGCCTTCGTCATCGCCGGCCTGCGTCTTCGCCTTCGGGGGCCGCGGCCGTGCCGCGGCCCCCGTGGCCGGCCTTCGTCTCGCCGTCGTCACGGCCCGCCCCTCTCGCGCGTTTCTCTGGTTGTTGTGCTCCTCCCCCCTTTTGGTTATGTGTGTGGCTTTCCCCCAAATCCTAAGTTGGGGTTCGTGTTGCTACCCTGACGCCTGTGGACATCTTTCCCCCTCCTCCTCCTCGCCACTGGGCCCATGACAGGCCCACTCTTCTTCACGGGGTCCATCACACATTCATTGTCCATGACGCAGACTCAGCCGCATCCCTTCCTCAATCAGAGTCATTGAGGTTCAAAGTCACTCATATTCACTCACACCCACTCACGAGGTGAACCTCGGACGCAAGCTCAGCCATACACATTCAGACGCTCACTCCGACACATTCTTCCTTATTCAGGCTCGCTCAAGTTGTTCCCCATATCCTAAGGATGCGGTTCTTGTTATTCTCCCTATCATAAGGATGGGGTTAATGTTCCCCGTATCCAAAGGATGGGGTTCTAGTTCCCCATATCCAAAGGATGGGATTATTGATATTACTCCGACCGCGCCGACTCCTTCCACTCACCTCCCTCCTCATGCTATGTTGTGTTATGCCATTGCATGGCTTGTCTTGGTATGTGATCGTACGGTATACGATGTTTTGGTATGATACGTTATACCATGTTATGCTATGTTATGCTATATTAGGCTATGGTATGGTATACTATGTTTTGTTGGAGCGATGATGCTGAATAATAAGAAGACGATGCTAATGATGCTAATGATGCTGCTGCTGATGATGCTGATGATGATGTAGATGATGATAATGACGATGCTGCTGCTGCTGCTGATGATGACGATGATGATGATGATGATGATGATGATGATGATGATGATGATGGTGGTGGTGGTGATGATGATGATGATGATGATGATGATGAAGAATAAGAAGACGATGATGATGATAATGCTGGCGGAGCAGGTTCTGAGGATTTCTCGAGGGAGGCGCGGGTTTCAGCAGACCCGAGGGGGAGCCGCCAGAAGATACTGCATTCATCCGTTCGCGCCAGAATTGCGGGGATGTCTGGAGTGGTTTGCCTGGTTGCTGCCGCAACATCCTCCGCTTTCGGAGCAGATTTTGAGGATGCCTCGAGCGATGCGCTGGATTTCGCTCCCAAGGGGGGGCCGCCAGGGGGTATTGCATTCCTCCGGTCGCGCCAAAATGCAGGGGATGTCTGTTGGCTGCCGCAAGATCCTTCGCTTTCGGAGCAGATTCTTAGGATGTCTTGGGCGAGGCGCTAGTTTTCTGCGTTCAAAGCAAATTCTGAGGATGCCTCTGGCGAGGTGCTGGTTTCGACACCCCAAAAGGGCCCAGATTGTGAGGATGTCCCAGACTCACTTATGCTCAACCTCACTCGTGCATAGACTCACTCAGACTCCGACTCGTACTCATCATACTCAAACTCAGACTCACTCACACTCATATTTTCGCACGCTCAGACTCACCCATGGTTAGACCCACCCACTGTCAGACTCACTCGTAGTCAGACTCACTCGTATTCAGACCCACTCAGACTCAGACTTTTGTTCAACATGCTCATACTCAGACTCAATTACATTCGTACTCAGACCCATTCATACTCAGGCTCGTACTCATTAGATTCACACTCAGACCCACTCACACCCAGACTTGCCCACACTCAGACCACTCTCACCCAGACTTGCTCAAACTCTGACTTACGCATTCTCAGACTCACCCGTACTCAGACTCCCTCATACTTAGACTAAGTCACACTCGCACTCAAGCATACGAAACACTGTTTATACATCAAGCCCGTTTATATCTGGAAACCTTGCGTCTAGATATTCATGGCGGATGGGTCAATGCACATATATGCACATATGGGGAGCTCCACGCAGTGATAAATTATATATCCGACCGCGCCGACTCCTTTATCACAGTCACCTCCTCTTCCTCACTCAGGGTCACACTCAGGGTCACTACCTTGGTTATGCTATGATGATGCTGATGAGGATGATGACCATGCTGATGATGCTGATCATGATGACTGATGGTGATGACCAGAACGATGATGATGGCGGTGATGACGATGACGGTGATGACGATACTGCTGATCATCATGACGATGATGATGGTGATGCTGACGATGATGTGATGCTGATGATGACGATGATGCTGCTGACGATGATGGCGGAGTAGATGATCATGATGTCTCGAGCGAGGCGCTGGTGATGATGATGGTGATGATGATTCTGCTGATGATGGTGATAATGTTGATGATGCTGATGATGATGATGATGATGATGATGCTGATTGTGATGATGACGACTATGATGATGGTAATGATGATGATGATGATGATGATGATGATGATGATGATGATGCTGATGATGATGATGATGATGATGATGCGGATGCTGATGCGGATGCTGATGCTGATGATGATGCTGATAATTATGATGATGAAGCTGATGGTGATGATGCTGCTGCTGATTATGATGATGCTGATGTTGATGCTGATGATGCTTATGCTGATGATGGTGATAATGCTGATGATGCTGATGATGATGATGACGATGATCATGATGATGATGATGATGATGATGATGATGATGATGATGATGATGATGATGGCGATGATGATGCTGACGATGATGATGATGATGATGGTGGCGATGATGCTGATGATGATGCTGATGATGCTGATGCTGATGCTGATGCTGATGATGATCATGATCATGCTGATTCTGATGATGATCACGATGACGATGGCGATGATGATGATGGTGATGATGACGACTCTGATGATGATGATGATGATGATGATGATGATGATGATGCTGATGACGATGATGACGATGATGATCATGATGATGCTAATTATGATGCTGATGCTGATGCTGATGATGCTGATGCTGATCATGATGACGATGATGCTGTTGATGATGATTTTCCAACGACATGAGAGCCAAGAAAGGAAACAAACTTTAATCTCGGATCGAAAATAATGTACGGCTCGTCGCAGAGAGCGTGACTCTCGGTGGCCGCGCGGGGGGCGCGTGGTGCCTGCAGAGTGCTGCAACAGCGATGCCTACGAGGCAAGCACGAGTGAGGTGACTGAGGATGCTGGCACTCCATAGGTTAGCGGCGAGTGGGCGGTGGTCAAAAGAAACAATAAGTCCGAATCGCACACACGGCGCGCCGTGGGCACAGGCAGATGGCACGAGAGGGAGGTAGAGGGGAAAAAACGTTGTCTGTCATGCCAGCCAAGTCATGGGATCCGTCATGCACAAAAAGCCAGGCTCAGGCATCACACTGGTGCTGCTTTCACACGGCCGTGTGATCGTTGAACAGGGACTTGTACTTGGACTGGTACTCCACGCCGAAGTGTGTTACGGCAAGGTGGTCCTTCCAATCGGTGGACAGGGACTTGGAGAACGAGGCGACCTTTTCCTTGGACAAGCTCTCCGCGCTGAAGTGTGGCACGGCCAGGTGATCCTCCCAATCGTCGGGACGGGACTTGTAGACCGAGGCGCACTCTTTCGTGGTCACGTTCTCGAACTGATTCTCCGCGCCGAGATGTGTCACGGCCAGGTGATCCTCTCAATCGTTGGACAAGGACTTGTAGAACGAACCGCACTCTTCAGTGATCACGTGCTTGGGGGGGCTCTCCGCGTTGAAGTGCTTCACGGCCATGTTATCCTTCCCATCGACGGACAGGGACTTGTAGACCGAGGCGAATTTATGGATTATGCCCTCCTGCTTCACGGAGCCGTTGCCGTCGAGCGTACGAGATCACCAGCAGCTTCTGGGCATACTTGGGCTCGTCGTTGATGAATGCCGTGTGTACCATGATGCGCTCGTAGTTGGTCCCCCAGTGCTCGCCCGCCTAGCCCCGGGGCACCTTCAGGTTCTTCGTCGAGTTCTCGGCGATTAACGTGCTCGCCGATCCCGAACAGCGTAAGTCCGATGTGCATGTCTTCCACGCCGTAGTGTGCGCTCTGGTACTTGCTAACCAGGTTCAGGGCGAACTTCTGGATGTTGTCGAAGCTTTCCTGCTTCATGGAGCCGTTGCCGTCGAGCGTAATGGCGAGAACGCGCGTGGGCAGAACTTCACGAGCGGCTTCTGGGCGTACTCGGATTCGTTGTTGATGAGTGCCGTGGAGCCCATGATGCGCTCGTAGTTGGTCTCCCAGGGCTCGCTCGCACAGCCCCGGAACACCTTCAGGTTCTTCGTCGAGCTCGCGGCGATGGAGGCCATGAAGATCTGCACGCCCTTGTCCTTCATCGCTGTCTCCTCACTGCACTCGCCTGCGGCCTCCGCTGGAGCACGCTCTGCTCCTGAGGGCCTGAGACTCCACTCCCCCGCGCGGCGCCGCCATGGCATGTGTTCTGCTCTCTGACTGAAACCGAGGGACGGTAGGGGCGCGTTCAGAAGACCGCTGCGCCACAATGGCCTGGGCACGCGGCGGCCTTTGATGATGATGATGCTGATGATGATGATGATGATGATGATGATGATGATGCTGATGACGATGAGGATGATGATGCTGATGATGCTGATGATGCTGATGATGCTGATGGTGATGCTGATGATGATGCTGATGCCGATGCCGATGCCGATGCCGATGCTGCTGATGATGCTGATGATGATGATGATGATGATGATGATGATGATGATGATGATGATGATGATGATGATGGAGCAGTTTTTGAGGATCTCTCGGGCGAGGCGTTGGTGTCAGCACACCCGACGGGGAGCCGCCAGCGGTATTGCACTCGTCCGTTCGCGCCCAGGTTGCATGGATGTCTCGAGCGGTTTCCCTGTGTGTTGCCGCAACATTCTCCGCTGTCGGAGCAGTGTTGGATGATGTCTCGGGCGAGGCGCTGGTTTTCGCACCCTCGGGGGCCCAGATTGCGAGGATCTTTCGAGTGGTTTGCCTGTTTTGGTGGCCAGGCCAGGTTCGCCTGCGCTCAGAGCAGATACTGTGGATGTCTCTGGTGAGGCGCTGGTTTCAGCGCTCCCAAAGGGGGAGCCGCCAGGGGTTATTGCACTCCTCCGTTCGCGCCCAGATTGCGTGGATGTCTCGAGCGGTGGGCTTGTTCTGGGCCGCATCTTTCTCCGCTTTCGGAGCAGTTTTTCAGGATGGTTCGGGCGAGGCGCTGGCTTTCGCATCCCAGGGAGGCCAGATCTCAGGATGTCTCGGGCGAGGCGCTGGTTTCAGCACCCCAAGGGGCTCAGATTGAGATGATGACTCAGCCTCACTTCTGCTCAAAGTCACTCGTGCTCAGACCCACCCATACTCGGACTCGTACGCATCATACGCATAATCAGACGCAGTCACACTCGGATTTACGCACTCTCAGACTCACTCACACTTAGACCCACCCTCCTTCAGACTCACTCGTACTAAGACTCACTCGTACTCAGACCCAGTCAGTCTCAGATTTTTATTCATCATATCCACACTCAGACTCACTCACGTTCAGGCGTACTCGCACTCATAACCACTCGCACTGAGGCCAACCCACCCTCATATTCACTCGTAGTCAGACTCGCTCGTACTCAGACCCATTCAGGCTCAGACTAGTACCCGATATGCTCATAGTCAGACCCACTCAGGCCCATAATTACTCACATTCAGACTCATTCTCAATCAAACCCACTCATACTCGGACTCACGCATTCTCAGACCCACTCGTACCCAGACTCTCTCATTTCTGGACTGACTGCGACTCGCACTTAACCATACGAACGCCCGTTTTATACCTACCGCCCGTTTACATTCGAACGCCCATTTACATTCGACCACCCTAGCGCTTAGACACTCACGGCGGACAGGTCCATGCAAATCGATGCACAGATGGGGAACTCCACGCAGTGAATTAGTATTATTGTTATTGTTATTATTCTGACCGCGCAGACTCCTCACACCCCCTTCTCCCTCTTTACCACGAAAGAACGATTATTGTAATGCTGCTGGTGCTCATGTGGATGATGCTGCTGCTGATGATGATGCTGATGGTGATGGCAGTGATGCTGATGCTGGTGATGATGTTGATGCTGATGCTGCTTATGCTGCTGCTGCTGATGCTGATGTTGGCGATGATGCCGATCCAGATGATCATGCCTATGATGTTGATGCTGCTGATGATGATGGCGATATTGATGATGCTGCTTATGATGCTGATGATGCAGATGCTGCTGATGCTGATGATATTGATGCTGATGATGATTATAATGGTAGTGCAGATGCTGATGATGATGATGATGATGATGATGATGCTGCTGCTGCTGCTGATGATGATGATGATGATGATGATGCTGATGATGATGATGATGACGACGACGACGACGACGATGATGATGATGATGATGATGATGATGATGATGATGATGATGATGATGATGATGATGATGATGATGCTGATGATGATGATGATGATGATGCTGATGATGATGATGATGATGACGACGCTGGTCATGATGCTGTTGGGGTTGCTGATGCTGCTGATGCTGATGCTGATGACGAGGAGGAGGATGAGGATGATGATGAGGATGAGGATGGGGAACCTGATGATGATGAGGATGAGGATGGGGACGATGCTGCAGCTGATGATGATGATGATGATGATGATGATGATGATGATGATGATGATGCTGATTCTGATGATGATGCTGATGATGCTGATGATGATGATGCTGATCATCATGATGCTGATGATGATGAGGATGATGATTATGCTGATGATGATGGTGATGATGATGATCAGGATGATGATGATGATGGTGATGATGACGATGACGGAACAGACCTTGAGGATTTTTCGGGCGAGGCGTGCAATCCTCCGTTCGCGCCCAGGCTACGCGGATGTCTCGAGCGGGTTGCGTGTTGGCGCCCCCAACATCTTCCACGATCGAAGCTGATTTTGATGATGCCTTGGGCGAGGCGCTGGTTCCAACACCCCACGGGTGGGGCGCCAGCGGGTATTGCACTCCTCCGTGCGTGCCCAGATTGCGGGGATGTCTCGAGTGGTTTGCCTGCTTGCGCCCCCATCATCCTCCGCTTTCGAAGTAGATGTTGAGGATGTCTCTGGCGAGGCGCAGGTCTTCGCACTCCAGGAGTGGCCGCCAGGGGGTTTTGCAGACGTTCTGTGCAGGCAGCGCATATGACTCGGGATTACAGTTGGCGCCGCCGCGATCGAGGTGCTGCTGGTGGTGTGTTACCTACAAGCGAAGTGGTGGCAAAAGGGATCCCATATTTTTCACCCCCCTCAGAGGCTCCCCCTAAATCCAAGCCGGCCTCGCCGTCGGCTCAGCATGCAATTAATTTCTTCGTGGTCCAGCTGAGGGCGCTGATCGGCCACTTTTCCGCAGGAGATCCTGCGAAGCATCCCGCTGTCCAATCCCCTGCTGGTAAATTGCGCAGACCTCCTCCGAGCATCCTGGATCAGATGGGCTCTTTGGATCACGTTCGCCGGCTGGCTAAGCTCTGTATCTCCTGGGACCTGGGATGACAGTGTGACTGTGGAGGGTTCGAGGGCGGGATGGCTTCAGGAGGGATGCAGCGACTCCTCGATCGCCCACGAGTCGCCGAATAGAGGGCCCCATGGCCCACCCCCGCCCAGGAACTCGCGAACTCGCAGTCGGGGGTCCATCGCAGACCTGCCGGTGGTAACGACCCCACCGAGGGGAAGGAGGGGAGGAGGACCTCCTCCTCCTCCTCCTCCTCCTCCTCCTCCTCCTCCTCCTCCTCCTCCTCCTCCTCCTCCCCCTCCTTCCGTAGCCATTTTGGCTCAAGCCATTGGGCGGAGCTGGCAGCGGCAGGCCGTCCTCGGGCGGCGGGGGCCTCGCGGTGCGCGATGGTTTCGACGCAGGCGGCTGTGTTGGCGGGCAGCCCAGCGGCGGGGGCTGCCTTCGGTGCCATTTCGGCGGCTATCGAGATGGGCGTCTCGACCAAGTGCCTGACGTCGCTCGTGGCTGCTGCAGTTCGAGGCGCTGTTCAAGGCGCCGCGGCTACGGCGGCCGCAGAGGACAAGATCGACCCGCTCGACGAGGTGCAGGCTGTCGTCAACCTCGTGGGCGACATCGCGGGCGTGGAACGGACGGTCAAGGACGCCAAGGAGGTCCTGTCTAGCCTGGGGGCTCCTGGCCGTGCCGTGGCGGGCAGGCTGGGGCGAGCCTCCAGGTACCGGAACGCGACTGCGCACCCGGCGTGCGCCGGCCTCGCCGCGGCGGCGGGCCAGGTCATCGCCAGTGCCGGACCACAGTTGAAGCAGGGCCTGATGAAGAAGAACTCGTCCATCGAGAGTTCGACCGACGTGCCCGAGAGCGAGGACGGCGCCCTGGTCGGCTCGGTGGCGGCCGACATCGAGGTGAAGCCGTTGAAGGAGCTGTCGAAGGGCACGGCCGAGACGGCTCAGCAGCTGCAGCAACAGTTCACGGACCTGTTCGTGGACAGGGTTCTCCAGGAGCGCTCGAGTTCGGCTACGTGATCAGCAAGTGCGCGCTGATCAACAAGTTTTTCTCCTTCCTCCAGGTCGGGGGAATCTGGAGTGCCCCGCATTCCTTTTCCCCTCAGGCGTGAGGCGGCCCGCCGACGGCCGCAGATCCCCTTTTTGAAACTGACCACTGGTCATCTGAGCGTTTCCTCCTCCCCCTCCTCCCCCTCCTCCTCCCCCTCCTCCTCCCCCTCCTCCCCCTCCCCCTCCTCCTCCCCCTCCTCCTCCTGAGGGGGCAAGGTCGAGAAGTCGGTGCAGACGACGGCGACAACGGCGAAGCCGCCAGCATTGAGGCAATGGTCGTGGCTCGTCAACTGCACGCGAGGTGATAGCAGCGGGATGAGTTCCCCTACTTCCTCCTTCTCCCCCCTCCCCCCCGCATGTTCGACCTGCCTTGGTCGGGGGCAGGCCTATCTATCCATTGTCCCATGCCCGCAGGGGTACCTCCGTAACGCGTGCCGCGGAGCGTGGGGCCACCCACGTGCGGTAACACCGCAGATGTGCGCACTCGAGGAGTTGGAGCGACTTTCCCAACCAATCATTCGGGGGTGGACAGAACCCCAAACAGTGACACGTCGATTAGTGAATTGTCCGTTTTCGGTTCTCGAGAGGGCGCCGCGGCCGTTATTTTCCAGGGTTGTGCCCGCCAGGTTTGGGCCTCAGGTCGTTTTCACTAAACCACGTTTTACTAAACGGAGGTCTGTCCATCCCCGAATCATCTGGCACATCCTTTCTCGTGCTCCTGGTGATCGTTTTGTTATTCGTTGTTTTGCCAATCGGCGCGGG